TCTCGCGTCCCGGGAGCCCGGCGCTGAGGGGTGGAGGGGAAGGGGGCCACCCTGGAGGCGCAGGGCCTGGCGGGGACCGTTGAGCTGCCCGAGCCGGCGGATCGCGGATCACCTGCCCGCAGACGCCGCTCACCGCCACTCGCCTCTGACCGCGGCCGCCGCCCGCCCCAGGCACGCTCGCTCCTGGCTGCCCCGCGGAGCTGTGAGCACAGTCACCGGTCCTCCGGGCAGCGGGAAGGAGGGGATTCCCTGCGCGCCGCTGGCGGGGGTTTCTCGGCGGAGCTCTGCGAGTGCGGTCTCACTGTAAATAACAGCAAATACTTTGTCCGGGAGGACTGGCCCACAAGAGACAATCCAGGGGTTTGTGTAGCATATAGGTTAGGTTTCTCTTGCCGGCAAGGCGACAAACAGATCCCTGTGCACGGATCTCGTTCCGTGAGTTTTTGGTAGGGTTTCAGTTGCAGCTCAGTACCGAAATGCTGAATAAAAATCACGAAGGTGACTTGCTCTGAGGGCAGCTACACCGTGCACAGTGCATCATTGTATTTGATCCTCCTGTTGTTTTTGTAACAAATGCAAAAGGTTGGTTGTGCCTGAAAAATATTTTTGGGTTTTTTTTCTTTTGTTTGGTGAGACTCGGTTGTTCTAGCACCTGTTTCTTCTGTGAATTCATCATTGGGTCAGATGGATAGACAGAAGTTTGGGTTGGGTGGCATGAAGTACCCATGCACCTGCCTGTTGCCTTGGTTCACAAGGGGGAATCCCAGCTTGTTACAGGTCAAAATAGTGGCAGAGTGTATGATGTACTGCTGTACAGTGTGCACCCATGTCCGTACATCAGAAGAAGCTATGAATTAGTTCAAGGATAAGTTAATAGTTTTAAGTCATGCAGTTGTTTTACATGAGTGAAAATTAAAGAATGGTGAGGAATCTTTGTCTTGGATTTACCTTTATTTCAACATTTTGAATGTTTTGCTTTATTTCTTATTGTTGTGTTGGCTGGTGCTTAACTACCTTGCCAAATGATTAGGTTGTCATCGTGCTGACATATTGTTGCTGATGTACATCAGCATAAAGACCATTATTGATTGTGAGGAGAATTCATGAAAACAACACATTGACCATCCAGATTTCTTTTTAGGATTAGTTCCAGGTTTCATGGACTTAGTATCAGTAGCATTAATATTACCCATGACATTCAAACAGGAAGAAATCAAAGTTCTTAAACATTTATTGCATGTCCTGTATTGCTTGTCTGAACACTGTTACCCTTAAGATCTTGTACTTTTCTCATTTATTACCTTTTAACTTGAAATGAAAGTTTCATTGTGGGTGACTGACTTTATTTCTATAAATAGTAGTTCAGTCTTAAAAGAACTGAACAAACCAGTTTTTGTACAGTTGAGAAATAAAGTTGCGTATTTCAGATATGGTTAAATCATCATGATTTGTGGCATTATAGATACTACCCAAAATAGATTGGGGGGGGGGCATGGATTTTCTAGGTACATTGTTCCTATTGACATATATTGAGTTTTTACTGAAGTTGGTAATAACAGTCATTTTTATAAAGCAAAATATGCTATTTTAGATTACAGTCCAAATGTTGACATGAGGATTTCTACAAATTTACAGTGTTAGATGTATGTAAACTTAAAACCCAAGCTGCTTAATGAGAAGTGAGTTTCTCAGTACTCCTTACTCAGTAGCTAAATTAAACAGTAGTTTGCATACTGTCAAGCTGGAGAACAACAGGTTGGACAGGGCCTATCAGGCTTGATTTTTAAATCCTAACCCTTCGGACACTGGAATGCTGTTACCATTCTCACCTAGTGGCTTTTCCAGGCTTCTCACTGCAGTTAGTCTGTCACCCACAGCAGAGGGCACTTCTGATTTAATCAATACTACACCATTTTTCCACCACCTGTATAGAGAAACTCCCTTTCAGATTTATACAAAGGAATTTGAACATGCATGCACATGCGTTTTCTTCCTCATATCTCCACAATTAATTTTGCAAAGCATCTCTTTAGTTTTGAGTGTTCTAACACAAGATTGTGTTGCGTTGATACTAGAGAAGGTTTGATGGCTGGGAGTGAATGAAACAATGCAAAAAGCACAAGATTTAAAAGCAAATAAATTAGATTTTTGATTATCGTAAACACATGAGGATTGATTTTTATAGTCCCTTAGCATGTAGAGTTTGCTCCATGGAATAGCTGCAGAATAAAATCTCTGAGAACTGGAAATACTTATAGCTGCTATTTAGAATACTCCATGATCCTTGTTTCTACCTATTTATCAGGTTAATGAAAAGTTCCTTTATACAGGGATATTAGGCAATGTCTAATAGCTGTTTCGTCTTGGGCTGCACAGTTAGGAATTGCATGCATTTTTCCATAGCACAATTCATAAAGTAAAGTTAATATATTGTAATAAAATGTCACATACTGTAATAAAAGTACTTAATAAAGGAATTCTATGTTTCCATAATTTATTTCGAGCTATGTTCTCAACAAAACACTTAATACGTACCAAGCAAGTACATAATTATTCTTAAGATTATCTCATTATATTCAGACTCAGCTTCTCATATCTAAAACTCACAGTCCCCATAATTAAGACCAACTCCACCCTGAATGTGCTTGCAGTCATATCTGGTTCTGCTCCTCAGTAGTCCCCTTGAAGGCATAACTACTATTTCTGATTTTAAAGTTGTGTATTTACAAGATTGAGATCTCTGCAGCTGGATACCTTTCTTTTTTAGAATATATTTTCTTAAAACTCCTAGTCTGGTTTTTCATTTAGTAGCACAAAGTTGTGTCACTCAGCTGACATGGAAGTTGGAGAAATATCAGTGAAGCCACAGCATTAATGTATTTCTACATTTCACTATGAAAGAATACTGAAGGTGGGATATAACTGCAACGATACTCAAGATAGAGCAACATAGCTGTGTTGCTTCCAGCACTGCGCTGGAGTTTGCTTAGGACTAGGTTAATACTGTTACAAACATCTACACTGGAGTGAATTGTTCAATAACTCATATAACTTTTTAAGAAGTTTTGTTTAGTATGATTATTACCTCTTTTAGAAAACAAGTCTCTCTTTCCAATTTAATACTAATGAGATTATTTGTCCTGATTTCTAATGGAATCAGATCTGTATCAGATTCTACCTATTTCCAGGGGGAGAAGGTATGCAAGTCCAAATAACTTTAGTGTGGTTGATTTCAGTCAAGTTTGACTGAGGTATACAGGCGTCAAAAATAAGTTGCTACAGGTTTTGTGTGACTAAGGAGCTGTGAAGAGGAAATAAACTCCATCTGTGTCTTGAATGTGGAAAAAGTTGTGGCATAAATGCATGTATTAATAGACACAAGATCATCTATGTAGACCAGTACATTGCCTTGTAAACGTATATCATACAGTGGGAAGAGCTTTAATTCGTACAAGCAAGCACCTCACATCCGATCAGAAGGACGTTGGGTCTGATTAGCCCCAGCGCTGACTGGATTATTTGTTAATGCCTTTTGCTTCTTTTCTTCTTGTTACCATGACTTGGCAAACATCTTTATCACAACAGAATCTTGTCTCTTACATTTGAATAGGAATGACATTCTCTATTTTTCAAAGAAGTAGTTTTACACAAATTTTATGCCAGTGGGTTGAGTATATGACAAATAAGGCCATAATTGAAAATAGTATTTCTGCAGATTTCAGTACATTTGCTGATGTGCTATCTTAGGTTTATTTTACTATAAGTTGAAGAAATAGTACTCTTCACATCTTATTGGAAAGAGATAATGAAGAAATATCCTTAAATGCTGCTTTGGAATATACCACATAATACTGATTTCAGGATATCATTTCTTCTTGCATTCTCTCTTCGTCTTTGCTCACACCGATAAGGAAGATGAATGTCTATCTCTTTTTTTCCCTGTTTGTTTCCTATCTTCATTCTTCCTTGTGTATCCCTTATCAGAGAGACAATTGTATTAATGGGACATAGGCTTCAGAACTTCTGTCTGGCGCAATAGGCAAGTCAGATTTTTTGGAACTAATTATGACAACTTAGGAAGCTGTGGAAGTACACACTGCAGGGGAAGATGAACTAAATTGTAAGCTGCCACAGTCTTTTAGCTCTTAAATTTGCAAGGTGATGTAAAAAACTTCCTTGTACAATTTTGTTAAAATAAAGCATAAAAAGATGGTTTCTTTTTTCCTTCCCCTGCAGCAACTGATTAATACTTAAGCTCGTTGATACTTAGATCATACAAATAGTAATGTCAGCAGTCTGATGGGTAAAATACTGAATTTTGAGCTTGTATTTTGACAAGCACAGTGTTGGAAAGAACACTTTTTACTTGTCTTCTGTATAATACACATCTATTCTTTTGTTGGTCTGGAAGTACACACTGCAGGGGAAGATGAACTAAATTGTAAGCTGCCACAGTCTTTTAGCTCTTAAATTTGCAAGGTGATGTAAACTACTTCCTTGTACAATTTTGTTAAAATAAAGAAAAAGATGGTTTCTTTTTTCCTTCCCCTGCAGCAACTGATTAATACTTAAGCGTTGATACTTTTAGATCATACAAATAGTAATGTCAGCAGTCTGATGGGTAAAATACTGAATTTTGAGCTTGTATTTTGACAAGCACAGTGTTGGAAAGAACACTTTTTACTTGTCTTCTGTATAATACACATCTATTCTTTTGTTGGTCTGGGATCTTAGGCAATCCTTCCTTTCAGAAAATATGTAGTTCCATGAGCACTGGAATTAAAGGAGCCTGGTTTCCTTCAGATTTGGTTCTCTTTGTTGATTTATATTGTTATACAAGGTGTGAACATTTCCCTTCATGGGAGCAGTTTATAGATTCTCTGCTTTCTTCAATTACCTGTTTTCAAGAAATGGTTGAATTTCTCAATCCTTAATTGCTTTGTTGTATCTAATGAGAAATGATCAAGAGATTCAGAAGTTTTTGAGGAGGGGTAGAAGCAATGACATATAATCCCCAGGCATGCACACACAGATATGTGTATGCAGTGTGAGTATGTGTAACTGCAAAGCCCTGGAAGTTGTGTTTCAGTATTCTTTTTGTGGGTTACTCCTGTATCCTATTGGATCCTTGGTTAGATGTTATAGTTTTCAACATGTGTCTTATGTTAACAGAAATTGTGAGAGGACTGTGAGACTTTTTTCTTGTCTTTGTAGGATAATACATTGGTGCACAGTTGAGACAATGGAGTCCATGCTGAATAAATTGAAGAGTACCGTTACAAAGGTAACGGCTGATGTCACCAGTGCAGTCATGGGAAATCCTGTTACCAGGGAATTTGATGTTGGCCGACATATTGCCAGTGGTGGTAATGGTCTTGCTTGGAAGATATTTAATGGAACTAAAAAATCAACGAAACAGGTGGGTTGTCAAGTAAAGCCCTAAGTTTATAAGCATTAGATAACAGACTGATAGGTAGCAGTTGGTAAGTGCCATTTAAAAACAAAATCCAGCTGGGCAGACTAATGCTAAGGGTAGTAGTATAAGTAAAATGAAACGAAGAACTCAACATTATTTAAATATAATGTTCTTAGCTACATAGGTGGTAATTGCTTTAAGCCTTCACTGCTGGAGAAGGAAGTGGTTCTGCATTCATAGCATACAATTTGAGACCAAGATCGAGAATTAATCTGAGTTAGAAGTGATCTGACAAGAAGGAAGAAGTTTGTTTAAACATGGATCGATTCCCCAATTTGTTTTACCTTGCAGCTTTTTTTGGCAGCAGTACTGGCTTTTTACAGTTTAACATAATTGTGAAGTGTGCCATCAT